CAGCCACTGTGCAATCAGGCCTGGACCAACCACTGTGCAATCAGGCCAGGACCAGCCACTGTGCAATCAGGCCAGGACCAGCCACTGTGCAACCAGGCCAGGACCAGCCACTGTGCAACCAGGCCTGGACCAGCCACTGTGCAACCAGGCCTGGACCAGCCACTGTGCAATCAGACCAGGTCCAGCTGCTGTGCAACCAATCCAGGACCGGCACTCTGCAACCAGTCCAGCACTGGCCACTCTGCAACCAGTACAGGACTGGCCTCTCTGTAACTGGTACAGGACTGGCCACTGTGCAACCAGTCCAGAACTGGCCACTGCGCACCCAGTCCAAGACCAGCCACCTGCAAACAGTCCACAGTCAATCAGCTGCAGCCAACGACCAGCCGTGACTCCCCAGGTGACATTCAGCAACAAGATTCTAGCATCTCCTGCAGTCAGCAGCAGCATGGTGAGAGGGTTCAGCTACCTCAACTTTATATAGATATACTGTGGCTAGAATCAAGAATGAAAGAGACAGCAGCACTGATACAGTTGTCAGTAATAGCAAGTTTCTTAATTAATACAGAGTTGCCACAGAAACAGAAAAAACTGCACAACATTTCCATTAACAGGTCCATTCTTTCTGCAAAAGCCCACCATCAGCACCACCACCCTGCTTTCAATGCTCACAGAAATTTTTAAACTTTGCAAATGACCTGGGTTTGAGTTTGCCACCATAAACCCAAACATCGATCATATTTCTTTAGTGTGATGCACTTTTTTGATGCTGTGTTCCTAAAATTTGAAATTACACTTTGAGTTAGGGTTGACATTTTACTTTCAAAAGTCCTACGACTGAGTGTGCATGAGAAACATAAAAGAAAAATAGCAGGTTGCTGATTCTTGGATGTTCAATTTTCTGAGGATTAGTAATCTCAAACAGGTTGCCACTCCAATACTTCTTTATTACAAAAAAACGGAGCTCCACGTGTCTGAAAGGAGATTTCATCCAGGGCTCCCTCAGGAATGTCAGCCATACTTCCATTCTGACAGTATTTTCACATTTTCATCAGCGAACACATACATTTCCACAGCAGTCACCTGCTATATTCCGAAGTTTAAAGGTTCTGACAACCCTGTTTGCAGCTCTGTCAAATTGCTAAGAACATTAAGTGTGATGTTAGGGTACTGAGATGGTAAGGTGCTAGTTGTTTAGGAGGAATAGGGTGCCAGATAAGTAGTGTTACGGAGAAGGGGAGGTTAAATGAAAGAAAATCCCTGATATTCACTTTATAAGCAACAAGTAACAATTTATTTATTTAACCCTAACAGTGAAAAAATTAACATAACTACTAACAAACCAAATAGTACCCCCCAACTCCTAACTATTCCCTAACTGAACAAAATTCTAATGGTATGCTATTCCAATAAACACAAGTTCCACGTATATAACATAAGTAGCAAGAAAAAATTAATTAAAACTTAGTCTCTCAAAGTCTACACAGAATGTGTCTTCCAGAATGCACTACCTTCTCCACTGTCTTTCCAGTCATAAATGTCTTTCTTCTGCTGTTCTCATGTCATAAATGCCTTTCTTCTGCTGATCCTGCTGTCAGGGATGTTTTCTCTGTGAAGACTCTTAGTTAGAAGTGCCGTGGTACGTTTTATGGATATGATGGTGCTTTCTTAGAGAGCTTAGCAATTTCTTGTGAGAGCTAGGTGCTTATTTCTCAGATGGTGGTTTGCTCTCACATTGATTTTCGAAAACCCTCTCCTTATATACCTTGGATGACATATCAATTTTCTTAGATTAGCATTGGTCCAAGGTTGTCAAAACCATCAGATATAAAGTCAATTGGCATTCAATCGCTAAATGCTTGGTTTAAATTAATTGGCTGATTCCAGCTAGTTGCCAAAACATTAAAACAAGTCTAAGGTTTCCAATCACACAGCCAATTAGTACATGTTTCAATTTTAGAACTGGCTGTACATCTTCAGCTACATGCAGACATCTTTATTTATGTATAAATCTTTAAGCTTACTTTATCTCTTAAAGGAACCACAGACTCTAGAATCATAGAATCCCTACAGTGTGGAATCAGGCCATTCGGCCCAACAAGTCCACACCACCCCTCCGAACAGCATCCCACCCAGATCCATCCCCCTACCCTCTCCGTGTAATCCTGCATTTCCCAAGTCTAATCCACTAACTTACACAGCCCTGGACACTACAGGCAATTTAACATGGTCAATCCACTTAACCTGCACATCTTTGGACAGTGGGAGGAAACTGGAGCACCCGGAGGAAACCCAAGCAGACATGGAGAATGTGCAAACTCCACACAGACAGCTGCCCGAGGGTGGAATCGAACCGGGTCCCTGGCGATGTGAGGCAGCAGTGCTAACAACTGAGCCATCGTACCGTAACAGTAGGGTGTCAGCTAGAGCGAGGGGTAGTGTCCCAAGGGTTGGATGCCTAAAGGTAAGGGATCTTGTGCCAGGTAACTAGGGTGCTGGGTTCATAGTGCACCGGATGAGTAGGGTACAGTTGGGTACAGGGCAGTGAACGAAACAGCAAGTTGGCAAGGTGAGTGATGCAGTGTTTAGAGCAGGTCGGGTGGTTGGGGAAAAAATTGGATTGGGTGACGACAGGGAGTCGGTCGGGTCCAGCAGGGGAGGCAGTTATGTTAGGTTGTGAATGCGGGCAGGGAAAGTTGGGATGCAGAGATGGGGGGTGGGGAGCAAATGACACGGGATCAGGTGAAGCATTGGGATCATGAGGTGGGGCTGTAGATCCGGGGATGGTTGGACGGGTGGGGTGGTTGGCTCCATGGAGGTGGAAGGGAGTTATAAAAGGACTAGAGTAAGTGTAATTGGAAATGTATGGCATAAGTGTGACTTCATTTTAATAATTACAGTATGTAATTAATACCTTGACTTTCCTGTGTAACCATTTTACTTTATTTCATCAGAAGCATCCAAAGTCTCTGATTTAAATGCAGACTTTTGAAGGGCTCTGGGTGTATTAGAATTGCCCAGCAAAAAATTCAACTTCCCCATGGAATTTCCTCAGAGTATCAATGGGGATTCTGCAAAGTTCCCATGCACAACTCCTATCTACGGTAGCATAACAACTGTCTAGCCAGTGGAAAATCTGGGCAAAAACTTTTTTATCTCTCCATCCATGCTGCCAAAACTGCTAAGCATTTCCATCCATGATCTATTCGTATTACTGCCCCCATTTTGCACTACCTAATGGAGCTGTCAGACTGGAACTAATATATTGGAAACAAAAGTTGCTTAAAATGCTAGCCAGGCCTATACTGCATTGTTGTTGTCTATTGTTTTCTGAGACAAGTGGAGATATATTTGCCTGCTTTCAAGCAGAAGCCGAACTCTTCCCATCAATATCCAAATGCACATTGCATTTACAATACTGTCAAAATCTTGGGAGATTTTTGTCCCCATCTGAAGTTAAACTGAAGCTGGCATTAAGCGGAGGCAATAATAGATTACCTCTTCAAGGTCACATTGGCAAAATGCAATGGTCCAGTAGTTAAATTACTATTTACCTGCCATTTTGGCATTGAACAAAGCAGCACATCACATGAAACTGAATCACAATTGGACCATGAAATTCAGACAAGTAAATAACTGAAAGGAAAGGAAATGTTTTGTGTTTCATCTATTTCCTCCTCAAGAAGTACCACAAAAAATAACTTCTGCATCCCTTCTCTGCACATTAGCTCTGTTTATTTATTTTGGTCAAAAATCTGTCAGCTCTAAATATTCATGTTGAAATAAAGAAAGTGAAGCAGAATATTTTCCATCCAGAATGACATCAGCACATGCAGAATGACCCAATATTTTGGATATGTCACAGGAAACAGATTGATTCTGTCAGCCTGACTAAAATCAATCAGTAATACACACCAAACCCCCACCCTCCCCTTCTCCCCCACACCTCATTCATTTGGCAGGAACATATCACAATAAAATATTAGCACAATTTTCCACTGCAGTTTGCTGCATATTTTAGCGACAAGGAATTAGCAAAATGTAAATTACTGCACATAATAATTACTTTTAACTTTATGCCATAGCCTTGTTCTTAACAGGATTTCACTAAGTACGTTTTCACTGCTCTACATTCCATTTCAGTATTCGAAGATATCACTGTTTCTTTACAAAGCTGACCTTGAAGCAAGATCTCATTTACGTCCTGGAAACTGTCTTGGAAATTAAATACTTTTGAATTTTAAACTTTGGCATTTTGCAGAAAGAATGATCTCTTTGTGACCTGATTTATGTTGCACAATTTATTGAGAAACACTAAAGACTCCAGTTTTGAATGCCCGAAGTTTGGAGCGCACTGCGCATGGGGAGATTTTATGTGTCTAAATGACAAGCAACAGTCTTTCATGAAATGGACTGTTGATGCATTATAGATTGAGAACCTACATGAAATTTTTGCAATTTTGGAGTTGGATAGTTTTTAAAACATTTTTAAGAATGTACATGAAGAGATAAAAAACATTTCCATTTTAAATAAAAGTAGGAGATGATTAACCCTAAGTACTCAGTCAAAATATCATATGGTTGTTCCCTCTTTCTCTGAGATAGTTGTTCTCCAATTATAAAATGAATACTACAACTAAAATAGCTCTTCCAAATATGCAAGGGGTTTTAAGAATTTCTGTCCCACATTTCTTGCAGTTCCAAAGAATAAACATTTCGAGTGTGTGCCTAGCTTTGAGCTTATCAAGGAGTCTCGATGTTAGAAACGGAAGACTCAGTGTCAGAAACAAGCAAACTTAGGTGCTTGCATACGTAGCCACTTGCTGAGTGGAGTGCAAACTCTACTCTGGTCTAAAAATATGTCTCAATTCCAAATTGAGATCAAAGAAACCTATTGTAACAATGCAAGAGTATTTCCATTTCCCACATTTAGTCATTCAGTTATGCTTAGGAGAAGGTGATGATGTAGTAGTATTGTCTTAGATAGTAAGCCACTAGTAATACGGAATTGCAGGCAATCTTTTGGGGACCCAGCTTCAAATTCCACCACGGCAGAAGGTGACATTTGAATTCAATAATAATCTGAAATTCAAAGATAATGGTCTCATGGTCACTTAATTGTTACAAAAACCCATTAGTTTATTAATGAATGTCTTTTAGGGAAGGAAAATCTGCCATCCTTACCTGGTCTGGCCTGCATTTGACACCAGGCCCACATCCATGTTGTTGAGTCTTAACTGCCCTCTGAAATGGCCTAGCAAGGCACTTAGTTGTAGTAACAGCAACAACGTCTCAAAGAAAGAATGAAACCAGATATCCTGGCATCGGCTAAGGCACCGGAAATGACACCAGTAAAGTCAGTCCTGTCAATCTTGCTAAGTCCTCCTCACTAACATCTTGGGGCTACTGCCAAAACTGGGAGACCTGTCTCACAAACTAGTCAAGCAAAAGCCTGACAGAATCATACTCATGGAAGTATATTACAGACAATGTCTCAGACATTACTATCCCTCATTACGTACTGTCCCACCAGCAGGATGGATACAGAGATGGGAATACAGTGGTATACAGATGGGAGGGAATTTTCTGGACAGTCATCAACATTGACTGTGGATTATAGCCTCCTCCAGAGGGCCCCAACATTGCAGATGACATTCTTCAACGAATTTGATTCACACCATATGATTTCACAAAATAGTCAAGCGTACTGTATGTACTGCAAAGACAACGGGCCCTGACAACACACCAGCAATAGTACTGAAGATATGCTTCAGAACTTGTCGCACTGCAGCCAAGATTTCCAATACAGCTACAACACTGACAACTACCTGACAATGTGGAAAGTTGCTGAAGTATGTCCTGCACACAAAAAAGCAAAACAAATCTAACCAAGCTAATTACTGCCTCATCAATTGAGTCCGTCATTAGTAAAGTGATGAACAGTGCTATCAAGCAGCATCTGCTTAGCAATAACTTATTTGCTGGCACTCAGTTTGGATTCCACAGGGTCACTCAGCTCTTAATCTCAATACAGCCTTGGTTCAAATATAGAGACGAATTCCAGAGGTGAGGTGAGACTGACGGCCCTTAACATCAAGGCCACATTTGATCTAGTGTTGCGTCAAGGTGCCTTAGCAAAACAAGTGTCAATGGGAATCAGGGGGAAAACACTCACTGGTTGAGTCATACCTGGCACAAAGGAAGATGATTGTGGTTGTTGGAGTTCAGCTCCAGGACATCTCTGCTGGAGTTCCTAGGTCCGAACATCTTCAGCTGCTTCATCGATGACCTTCCCTTCAGCATGAGATCAGAGTAGGGATATTCACTGATGATTCTACAATGTTCAGCGCCATTCACGGCTCCTCAGATACTGAAGCAGTCCACATCCAAATGTAGCAAGATCTGAACAATATCCAAGTTTGAGCTAACAACTGGCAAGCAATGTTCACAACACATAAGTGCCAGGCAATGACCATCTCTAGCAAGATAAAATCTAACCATCACTCATTGACATTCAGCTGTACTACCAGCACTGAATCCACTACTATCAATATCCTCGGAGTTATCATTGACCAGAATCTGAACTGAACTAACCACATAAATAACGTAGCTACGAGAGCAGATCAGAGGCAAGAAATACTGCAGCGAGTAACTCATCTCTCAACTTCCCAAAATCTGTCCACCATCTACAAAGCACAACTCAGGATTTTGATGGAATACTCTGCACTTGCCTGGATGTGCACAGCTCCAGCAACGTTTGCTACCAAGCTTGGTTGACACCAAATCCACATAGATTCACTCCTCCTAGCACCATTTCTCAATAGCAACCACATGCATTGCCGAAATTCACCAAGGTGCCTTAGACAGCACCTTGCACACCGATGCCTACTACCATCTAGCATAGAGCCAAATAGGAATTAATTCTCGTGTGTCTTTTTACAAAAGAAAATGAAAAGTTTTATAAGTCACCATACCGCAGCGCCTGTATCAGTGACTGAAATCATAGATAAGAAGAAAAAAATAATAATTAAGACAGAGTTCATCTCAGATCAATCTCATTTTGGGGCAAGTCAATTAAGACGACAAATGCTGGAATACTCAGGAGCTGCCACCAAAGAAGACCTCCACACTGGGACAAGACTGCCAAACCAAGACCGCCCCTCTGGGCTGAAGCTGCCATAACAGGAGACCACCATGCCAGGCCAAGACCAACGTGCTAAGCCAAGACCACCGTGCTGGGCTAGAAGCTTTCTCTTCGCTGGGTGCGGGCCAGGAGAAGAAATTTAAAAACGTGAGATAATAAATAGAAACATTAAGAAAAAGCAGAGAAAGAAAAAAAGTAAAAAGCGGACAGCATAGTCGGGCTCCAGGCTCTTTGGCTGAGGAGCCCGCAAGTTGGGCTGCTACACCCCCGCCGCCATCTTGTTTCTTAGATGGGCAAGGGCAGCACATACTTCAGAACAGCATCACCTTCACGTTCCCCTACAAGCCACTCACCATCCTAACTTGGAAATATATCGTCATTCCTTCAGTGTCGCTCAGTCAAAGTCATGGAACTCCCTCCCTAACAGCATGCTGGGTCTACTTACACTGAATGGCTTTCAGGGGGTCTAGAAGGCAGCTCACCACCACCTTCTCAAGGGCAACTAAGGATGGGCAATAAATGCTGGCCCAGCCAGCAAAGCCCAATTCCCATGAATGAAAAAATATAGCAATTTTGTGTTGACAACCACACCTCCACTTGTCAAACCTTAAGTGTCAAACCTTTTGATTTATAGCCTCTAGAAAACATTCTATTTGTTCTCCATTCATGTAATACCTGAATACTGAATGCAGCATACAGGTGTTGGTTGGTTTGAAACAGCAATTCTTGTATGAAGTCTGCTTGGCGCCAGACTGTTCAGCGGGTATTCTTTGCTAACTCCCCTACGGAAAATCAAAGCATTAAGATTTAGCAACAAGGATTCAATTAGAAATACAGGAACAGTTTAGAGCATTAAACATGCATTAGACCTTACTGATGATAAACACCACTTCTCCCCTTAATTAATGGGAAAGTGTGGGGTGAAATTAGGCATGGCTAAGACACAAAACATCTAGCAGTAAACTTGTACAGGACTGAATATTGGACATGATAGAACATTCAGCAAAACCGATTCCACTTGCTTTGTATTATTGCTGATTTTCACCCCAATGTATTGTATCAAAAAAGCATTCATCATCACTGTACATTTGAGATGAAATATTACTGATTATATGTCAGCAAAATTTCTTAAATTATGAAAATAGCATTTGTTAATGATTCAGTAAGTAATAAAGAGCCTGATTCAATAATATTTACCATTAGGAATGGTATCTTGTCAGTTTACATAACAAATTCAAATGCATATATGCATATCATGCTTGGATTGCATGTACTTGGATGATGACAATTAAGCAGCAAGAGATCCATTTTTCACAATTGCACAACAGCCACAATCATTTTAGAATCAGATTTTAGGAATTAAGAAGACTTCATTGCAGATTGTTTTCTTACTTCAGACTGCAAGTTTTTTCCTTCATCACTGAGCTGACAGATTTTGGGGGATTTACTTTTGGTGTGAACATGTTCACCCTGCAACAAAATCATTAGTATTGCTGTATTAGAAGCAGATAATAACTATTAGAATGAATGAACATATAAAAGTATAAAAATTGGACTTTTGAACTCATTATAAACATAAGAACATAAGAACTAGGAGCAGGAGTAGGCCATCTGGCCCCTCAAGCCTGCCCTGCCATTTAATAAGATCATGGCTGATCTTTTTGAGACTCAGCTCCACTTACCCGCCCACTCACCATAACCCTTAATTCCTTTACTGTTCAAAAATTTATCTAGCCTTGCCTTAAAAACATTCAGTGAGGTAGCTTCAACCGCTTCACTGGGCAGGGAATTCCACAGATTCACAACCCTTTGGGTGAAGAAATTCCTCCTGACCCCAGTCCTACATCTGCTCCCCTTTATTTTGAGGCGATGCCCTCTAGTCCTAGTTTCACCTGCTAGTGAAAACAACCTCCCTGCCCTCCACTTTATCTATTCCCTTCATAATCTTATATGTTTCTATAAGATCTCCCCTCATTCTTCTGAATTCCATTGAGTACAATCCCAGTCTACTCAGTGTCTCCTCATAATCCAACCCTCTCAACTCTGCAATCAACCGAGTGAATCTCCTCTGCAGCCCCTCCAGTGCTAGTATATCCCTTCTCAAGTAAGGAGACCAAAACTGCACACAGTACTCCAGGTGTGGTCTCACCAGGACCCTATTCAGCTGCAGCATAGCCTCCCTGTTTTTAAACTCCATCCCTCTAGCAATGGCAGACAAAATTCCATTTGCCTTTTTAAGTACCTGCTGCACCTGCAATCCTACTTTTAGCGATTCATGCACAAGGACACCCAAGTCCCTCTGCACAGCAGCGTGCTGCAATTTTTTACCATTTAAAACATAGTCCATTTTCCTGTTATTCCTACCAAAATGGACGACCTCACACTTATCAACATTGTACTCCATCTGCCAGACCTTTGCCCACTCACTTAGACTATCTATATCCCTCTGCCGACTTTCAGTGTCTTCTGCACACTTTGCTCTACCACTCACCTTGGTGTCATCTGCAAATTTTGACTAACCACACTTAGTCCCCAACTCCATTATTCAGCAACTTAATCAAATAATCCCGACAGTGCAGAAAGACATCAATCAGCCCATCGGGTGTGCACCAGTCCTCCAAACAGTACTTCACTCAGACCCACCCCCATCCCTGCAACACCCCATTTACCATGCCTATTCCACCTATCCTGCACATCCCTGGACAATACAGGGCAATTTAGCATGGCCAATCCACATAACCTACACATCTTTGGACTGTGTGAGGAAATTGAAGCACCCAGCAAAAACCCACACATACATGGGGAGAACATACAAACTCCACACACACATTCACCCAAGACTGGGAATTGAACCCGAATCTCTGATGCTATGAGGCAACACTGCTAACCACTGTGTCACAGTGCCACCTGGAACTGATCTGGAAGGAATGCACTCTTTAGACAGATTTTCATCTGGCAAAAGTTGAAGCATGTAAACAGCAGTGATAGCTGGAATTAAACCTGTTCTCTCAACTATTTGGAGCTGAAATCCCATAGCTGTGGTTATGTGCTCCTGCCATGTCAAGGGCAGCACAGTGGCACAGTGCTTAGCACTGCTGCCTCACAGTGCCAGGGACCCGGGTTCAAGTCCAGCCTCGGGCGACTGTCTGTGTGGAGTTTGCACATTCTCCCCGTTTCTGCGTGGGTTTCCTCCGGGTGCTCTGGTTTCCTCCCACAGTCCAAAGATGTGCAAGTTAGGTGGATTGGCCATGCTAAATTGCCCAAAGTGTTCAGGGAGGTGTAGATTAGGTGGGTTATAGGGGGATGGGTCTGGGCGGGATGCTCCGAGGTTCGGTGTGGACTTGTTGGGCCGAAGGGCCTGTTTCCACACTGTAGGGATTCTATTCTATGTCTACAACAGGAATGGCAGAGAAGACTAAAGATAGATTGTCTCATGGATTAATCGGTTCACATCTTGCCTAGGAGTTTCTTGGAGGTTGAGCCTCTATCCAGCATAAACAAGACCACTGGTGCAGCAAAAAAGCCCGGGAAGGAATATACAACCTCAAGTGTTCTCACAATGTTCCCCTCACATGGGCCTTTTGGGGGTTCATCGGCCAGTATGCTCAGAAGCAAGAGGTAGCAGAAATGGGGCTGTCACTTAGGTCCAAGCCTCACTTGGGGTATGAAGAGTAGATCAGTGAAATGTCTGCAAGCATGTGAGCCAGGATACACCAGAAACAAACATCTGAGGTGCTAAAAAGTAATACTGTAAACGTCTAAAGTCAAGGGATATTATAGTGGGGCACATGGACTTTTTTCCTTCAACTATCTTAAGAGGAACCTCAGCCAGATTTTTGTTAAAGCTAGGACGTTGATACAATCACACATAATAATTTCATGGATGACAACCATCTTGTTCACAAAGAAGTGAGCATCTTGGAGGAAGATGTGCAGAAGGATGATGACAGCTGATCAGAGAATCACTATCGTTACAACATCAAATTCCAACAATGTCTGTGGGCAATTGCTCACTGGATAGCCACACCACCCCCTCTCCTCTAACCCTTGTCAGTTCCAGGATCTTCCACTATAAGATGAATTTAATAATGTTTATAGTCAAGTTTATTGTTATGCACCATAGTAGCAAAACGCATGAAGATAATGGTATGTTCTGGGGCTAAGCTGGTTGAAATGGGAGAAAGCAATATTTGAATTCTAAACATTGGCAGGAGTTCAAAATCAATTACATATACAATGATGGTTTATCAAAATAAAACTATAAAACCTTCCGTTAACACTCCACACTTTGGTAGATGATACAGCATAGCTATAACCATTCTCTAGCTGGTCTTAGGTGGAATCTTCTGCATGTAATCTAGGCTCAGGATTAGGATACCCTACCAGAACAGAGTGGTCTTCAGCATAACCAAAGTTTACATGCAATTCACAACAGTAAAAAATTTCAGGTAAGTTGCTTCATTGGTTAGCAGTGACTTTTACCTCGGTGCTGCAGTGTAGCCAGAAGACTTCACTTTGGTATGAAACACAACCGGCTTGTCTTTTATACTGCTGGCACCTAGTTCCAGGATTTCAAAATGGAAATGATGTATTATATTTTGCAAGAGTATTAAGCCCTGATTGTCTTTTGCATTAATAATATTGAAGAAACATCATCATTCACAATGAACATAAATGAAGAAAAAAGCTGCTATATCAGTGTTATCATCACCTAATAAGTAGCCATTTATAACATCTGGTGAGGCAGATACATAAAGCATTAAATGGTAACAAAATAAAGACTATGCTGTGTTAAATAAATAACATTCTGATAAAGTGTACTGTGGAGTCCTCTCTCTTTAGGACTTTTTTTGTTAAATTAACCTGTTCAGGGACGTTTTTACACACCTCCGGAGCAGGTGACACCTGAACTTGGGCCTCTTGGTCCAGAAGTAGAGGCACTACCACTGTGCCACAAGAGCCCTTAAGAACACTTCACAAATTTGCACGCCATCCTATTTAGGGTTTAATTTGTTCAGATTTTACAGCTTCAAGATGGTTCAGTTACGGTATTGAGTAATGCTACAGAAATTTATTACCCTATAATGCAGTAATGCATTAATATCATTGGACAGCATTTGTGTTATGGTGTTGAGCTACAGTATTATAATTGCATTATGATGTTGACCTACAGTATTATAATACTGCAATTCTGTTAAAATTCCACACTGTGTTAGTCCAGCTACATGTTAATGTTTTAAAATTTGTGTTGTAGTGCATTAATATATAAGGTAAGGATCTTTGTAATCTTACTGACACATGTAAGATCAAGTTGTGGAGGGAGGGGGTGAATTTGATAATGTGGATACTGGAACAATGTTTCACTTGTGAGGAAAACTAGAACTAGAGGACATAATTCTATGAATAGATGTCTCACTTTGAAGATGGTGATTAAAATGTTTTGGTCTCAGAGGGTTGTCAGTCAATGGAATTCTTTTCCCCAGAAAGTAGTGTAAGCTGTGTCATTAAATTTATTCAAGGCTGACTTAGATAGATTTGTGATACATATGAAACTACTGGATCATGAGGTGCAACCAGGAAAAAATGAAGTTCAGACCACATCAGATCAATCACAATATTATTGAATGGTCTTATTCTGCTCTTAAGTCATATATTGCTGTAAGCTTTGCGCAATGGCACTAGACGATGCATTTTATGTACCAAATGAAATGATATAATTATTATTATGGTACAGTAGTATTTTATTTTCAAATTCACCGCAATTCTTTATCAGTTAGATATATGACAAAGAGTGCAAGCCAAGCAACTGAGAAATCCACCAGAGTTTTGTTTCCATATCCTCTCCCTACGAGCCCAGTTAAATCAATTCTGAGAGCACAGGCATAATTTAGGAACATCAAGGCAACTATGCTGGTAGAGTCACACTTCCTTTGGAACTACCAAGTGCACAAAGGGAATCTTAACCGGCTGAAAATTTGCAGTTTACCAATGCTAGGCACTGGTAAGTATTACTTATCCAGCTAATGCCACCCTGTCCACCAGGGTCTTGCTTTGCAGAGCTATCAGGAAGTCACTAGAAGAATCAAAGAATGCAATGCATGAATTTTTTGTACCCTGCCATTCAGTTATATAATTGTGAAGAAACAAATACCACAACTTCCCTCTCAACAAGCTGTGTTTCTACTGGAGACAGTGGCTGAACCGTTTGTAGGAACAGTCCTAGTGACAAGGTACCATATAAAAATGGGAAGCATCCTGAAATATTTCCTTATGATTTGGGGAATTAAAGTTCCATAGTATGATCTTCAGAAATCAACCATCTCATACAATTCACAGAGGCATAGAGTTATACAGCATTGAAACAGACCCTTTGGTCCAACTCGTCCGTGCCGACCAGATATCCTAAATTAATCTAATCCCTTCCTCGCCAGGCTGGCTTGTTTTCGTTCAGACATTTCGTCACCATGCTAGGTAACAACATCAGCACGGTGCCGAAACGTCTGAACAAAAACAAGCCACATGGGCGAGCAAGACAACAACCTCACCCACAACCCAAGATACAAATATTTGCTAAAACTTTAATCTAGTCCCATTTGCCAGCATTTGGTTAATTTCCCTCCAGACCCTTACTATTCATGTACCCATCCAGATGCCTTTTAAATGTTGTAATTGTACCAGACTTCATCACTTCCTCTGGTAACTCAATCCATACACACACTACCCTCTGTGTGAAAAATGTTGCCCCTTAGGTCCCTTTTATAACTTGCCCCTCTCACCTTAAATCTATGCCCTCTAGTTTTGGACTCCCCTACTCTGGGTAAAAGGCCTTGGCTAGTCACCCTATACATGCCCCTCATGATTTCATAAACCTCTTTAAGGTCACCCCTCAGCCTCTGATGCTCCAGGGAAAATAGCCCAATAGCTCAAACCTTCCAACTCCGACAACAGTCTTGTAAATCTTTTCTGCACCCTTTCAAGTTTAACAATATCTTTGCTAAATCAGGGAGACCAGAACTGCACGCAGTATTCCAAAAGAGACATAACCAATGTTCTGAACAGCAACAACATGACATCCCAACTCTTATACTCAATGCACTGACCAATAAAGGCAAGTGTACCAAACACTTTCTTCACTACATAAAAACCAAAAGAACTGCGGATGCTATAAATCAGAAACAAAAACAAAAACAGAAGTTGCTGGAAAAGCTCAGCAGGTCTGGC